CTATAGAAAATCGCCATAGAAAATTGTCTTATAGGGAAATCACTATAAAAAAATCGCTATACTGTGCAGCAGAAAGTTCACATTATCCAAACAGCGTCCACTATTCATCAATCACATTACAGCCAATTCGTTTTAATGAAACACGCATTATAGCAGAAACACTTGTATCTTATATACCTCAATTAGATCTCCTCTCATTCATCTAAACTCAAGACAGTGTATGCTTACTTTGCTTAATCGCTCTTCATAAGACAAAAGGCAAGCTTCCTACAATGGGTGCAGACTGATGAGGTTGTTCTGTTTTGAGGGTAACTCAAAGATTGTGGTTTAAATTCATTGCCAGGATGGGAATGTGTCAGTTATTACCTAGAAACAGCATTCAAGGGGAATTGGAGTATTATCTAAAGAGTGAATGCATACAGGGCCATAGGGAGAAAGAGGGGAATTGCACTCTGTGCTGTTCTCATTTAGAGAGCATGCAGAGAAGTGAGAGGCCGAATAGTCTCCTTCTATGCTGTAACAATTCTGTGAACATATCAATGTTACCAATATATGTAATCACTTGACATAACTTGGTTTCCCCAAGACCTTGCCCTCCAACCTTCTTCTTGAACCATCAGCATTACGTCTGTAAATAACTGTGAGACCACTAACTTGAATCCTGTCGATATGGGACAGGAGTCACAATTAGGCCAGCTCAGGTTAAGAGGAAAGGCTAACTTTCTTAAAGGATATTGTTCAACCAGTCAGATTTTCACAATGATCCAACAGCTTCAAAGCACCATTTGACCAGATGTTTTGAACCCAACTGAAATTCTCAAATCACCATGGTAGCATTTAAATGGACCTCCTTGGGATTATGAGTCCAATAATATAACCACTGCATCATTGCACCCCAAAGAGCTGAATCTGTTTACATTGACAGAGTGCTAAATTGATTTTTTTTTACCTTGAGTTCCTTCCTCAGATCCTCCTCATCAACTTGTATCAGCTTCTTAAAAGTATCAGTGACCAAATCTTGGCGGTTAACGTTCAGTTTGAAGATGGGATACTTGGGGTGTTCAGGGTTTCCCATGCAGATGTTACGGCATGTGAAATTCATTGCTTCAACAAAGGCTTTCTATCCAACACAAATTAGAAACAGAAGGAGACACTACCATCATGTTAAAGAAAACTTTAACCAAACTGACATTTAAAAGATAAAAATAAAGAACTGCAGATGTTGGAAATCTGAGACAAAAACAAAAATTGCTGGAGAAACTCAGGAGGTCCGGCAGCATCTGTAGAGAGAAAGCAGAGTTAACGTTTTGAGTTAAGTGACCCTTCCTCAGTTCTGAAAATCTAAGGGCCATAAGAGGCAACAATTAGTACACATGGAATTCAGGAGCAACTTCATTAATCAGAGAGTGATGACAATGTGAATTTGCTTCCACAAGCAGTGGTGGCTGCAAATAGCAAAGGTGCACTTAAGGTAAAGCTGGATAAATATATGAGGGCAAAGGATGGAGGGAAATGTGGATGGGGTTAGATATAGTAAGGTAGGAGGAGGCTTGTGTGGCACACAAAAATCACCATGAAGCTGTTGGGTGGAATGGCCTGTTTCTGAGATGTACGTTCTTAGTAATGTCCACAACCTTCTGTATCCCAGACATTGCTTAGTCCATGCATACTTCCACCAGAAGGCAAATGCACCAAGGTTGCACTGTACTTGTTGTAGTATTGCTGCTTATCAACTTAAAGTGAAAAGTGGAGGGGAACAATTTGCACTCGATCTTCCTCCCAAACAGCTCAAAGCAGTGCCTAGGAGATTCATTGTTAATTGTTTTTATGCCTTTCAGTGGCTGGGATGAAGATAATTTTGAGGGCAGTTATTAACACTCTCGGCTGGACACTACTTAAGGAATTTTGTAAGAACAAGGAACAAAGAGGGACTTCATTACAACAAAAAATTGCATTTAAATAGTACCTTCAACACAGTAAAATGTCGCAAATCCCTTTACAGGAACTTTACCAGATCACATTTGCCACAAAGTCGCATTAGGAGATATAATGAAAGGTGACCAAAAGATTGTTCAATGTAATAGGCTTTAAGGAGCACTTAAAAGGAGTAGAGTAGAGTAATGAGGGTTATAGACACATTTTAATTATTCATTTTCCCCTAAATTCATAAAATTACTTACAGTTTTCTCCAAAACTGAATTCATGTGAAGTATCTGAATCTTGGCATTTAAATTGAAGATGAATGGATAGCAACAAAGTGGGACCTTCTTTTCTTCTAACCCATTGGGCTGTAGGAGAGAAAAAGCACAGCACCTTGTGACAACTCCGCTCTCAAACATAGCACAGCTCCCCAGTTTTGCAGAAGTCATGGGATGATTGGGTGGACAATATCGAGAAGAAAGGCCCACTTTCCTGTTTAAAAATGGAGACCTAAAATGGGCACAATGCTCATGTTCCAACAGTGCCTGAAATAAGCCTGATCTCCAAGAATTGGTTGGAAGATATTCACTCTTCCTTGGTAGCCTTTGAGATGTGAAGTCAGCTGCCTTGAATATGTTAAAGTAGGGCACAATGGCTCTTTGTATACTGTTCCATAATATGCAGTAGCTCTACCTTGAATGAGGCAAACATTGCGAGATTCTGGTGTAAGCTAGCAATGATACTCAGAGTGCCTGACTGTTGGTGCTGAGAGTTGGCAACTGGTCAAGGTCGCTGTTGTTTGGTACTAGTAACATCACTAGATGATATCAACCAAATCATACCTTTTGTTTACTTGGGGTCAAATACAACATTTCTGATTCGTGCCTATTAATCTAAAGGTCATTATGTGATGATTTTCCAGTTCCACAAGCTTCTCTGCTTAGTGAAAGTCAGCAAGAGGAAGCTCATGAAGTATCATTCTTCTTTTGGATCCCATAATAAAGGTGAGCAGTATCACAGAAGTAAACATATGCAATTCACCAATAATGAAGAATTTACAGCATGGAAAGGGGCCATTCAGCCGATCAAGCCTATCTGGACTATCAGTCTCACTTAGAACATACAAACGTCTGATTTAGGAGCAGCAAAGGCCATTTGGCCCCTCATGCCTGCTCCACCAATCAATGAGATTAACAGCTGCATTGATTGTGGCCTCCTCTTCCCCCCCAGTGACTTTTGACTCCTCGTTAGCCAAGAATCTAATTCCAAATTAAAAACACTCTTCCTTGTTCTTTGTTTATTACTGTTTGAACATATCTTTTTAAAATTTGCCATTTATAAGCTAATATAGATGTTATGTCATCCCTAACAAATCTCACTGTGATTAAATTATCCCAAACTGTCCCTTTGATGTTAGGTGCTCTTAAATTTATATTGTCAGACTTTAAAGTGACTGAGCAGTGGAAATAGTTTTCCCAAATTTTCCTACCTTAAATCGCAATTTCACTTGAACATAAATTTTAGAATTGTTCCATGCGTTGTTTTGTAATTTTATGACAGAACAGATGAAATCCCACCAAACTCCCTACCTCACCTCATCACAATTCACTCTCCATGCTAATCCTCTGTCAACCCACAGTGTCTCACCCCTTCAGCCTCACCTCCCATTATCTGCTCCCTACCCTCAGTACACCCCACTCCCCCCCCACCATCTCACTGCCCTTCACTTTCTGCTTCCTTACACTCAGTGCCACTGGTATCCTACAGCTCTCCCATTTCCAGATACAAACCTCACCTTTGTTTCTGCCATTCTCATCAGCTCTCTTAACCCCTGCTCCTGCGCTGCCTTTATGTATGCTTTTGAGAGTGCAGCCATCACTGCTGCCTTTGCAGCATCCTTAAGATCCACCGGCAGGATTACATCACTAACTGAATTCCTGGAAACACCAAGATCACCAGAGTTTAGGATATCGTCTTTCAAAGTCAACTGTATTGGGATGGTCACATTGCCTGGATGAATGACAGCCACTGGCCTCAAGACTGTTGTACAGAGAGCTGACCAAAGCAAGCAGATTCCCTCAAGAAGTCCCACTCTGTGCCCCACATCCTCAGTTACCAGTGGATGCTCAGGCCAGAGATCATGATGCTTGGAGATGCTATATCAAGACTGAGCAAAGAGCTAGCACAAAAGAGAAAAGGAGGAGAAGGATAGATCCAATCACACCCAGCAGCAATTTCCTCTTCAATTGCATCCGTTGTGGAAGAATCTGTTGTCATGGATAGCCCTAACCCGTGAACAATGAACTTGCAACCAAACAGTACAACATTCTTAAAATCTTTGCTTGCTGTAAAGATGTTGGAAACTTACCCGTAGTTGATGTTCTTTAAATCTAATGACTTCAAAGCCAACATCAAACAGGAGAACTTCATCGATGTAGAATTTGTTTTGTGGAATTTTGTGCTGTGCTTTCATATTTGCCTGAGGTAAAATGCATGAAGAACAGACTTTAATATCCAGGTTCAAAAACAAAAATACAGAAAGTCGTGGAAAATGAGACAAGTGCTTTAGTTATGGTTGGCCTTTCTGATACTTACATGGTACGCCAGTTCTAGAACATCCAGAGCTTCCCTTAAACTTTTTTCCAATACATTAATTGAAGGATGGCCTGGCAATTCTATATACAAGGCATGGAGGTTTGTAAGCAAAATTACTACTGCAGCCCTAAACGTTTGGACAAGATTGTTCAAATACGATGACTTCAACGTCGACCAGCAATTTTCTAGATATTAAAAAATGCACAATGTTATCAACTGTGCAGCTACCAGCAGCCACCAAAGCAGTAACATAACACAGGTACAATAGGGAGTCTTGCTGCAGAGTGGCAGTGTGCCATCCTCTGGGCCAGAAGCCCTGGGTTCAAGTCCCATTGGCCACAGAGCACTGACATAACAAACAAAAATAAAAGACATAAGAGAAGACATGCACTGAAAATGTTTTTAGTCATACTACAGGAAAGGAATACCTTAATATGGTGTACCTGTCCAAGTTTGCACCTTGTGTTTTGTATGCTTATGCTAAGTAACAAACTACCGATTCAGTGCTATTTACATTTGAGATTTGCAGGGTGATAGGGTCTTATGTCAATGCAAACCAAATTAGAACTGGCAAAATCAGAGGCAAACAAGATTTCCATTTTCTTTGAAAATCCTTTTAAAGGTCAAATCATTGAAATCATTGAATGGCTACTGAACAGAGGATACTATTCTCTGAGACTCATCCTCTAAATGCTTGCCAGCTAGTCCCAGACTTTTTGCATTGACGATATTGTATCTTTAGGTGTTTATCCAGTTCCTTTCTGAAGAAGATAGAATAAAAGAAAAAAAGATTTCTGCTCATGTTACCTATGGTTCTTTTGCTAATTATCCTAAATTGCTGCCTTCTGTAATGTAGTACTAAGATTCTTCCTTTTCATTTTCTCTAAACCTAATTTGATTTGTATCACTGAAAAGGTTCACAAGAGCAACATTGTGGATTTCTGCTCACACACTCACTCAGAATATTTTTTGAAGCGTCATTTAGCCTCTCAATGGCTCCCACATAGATAGAAAGCATATCTTCCATAGTTTCATTGTATTGCATCAAGGAACTCTCTGGCAGAATCAAATAAATCATCAGTGCTTCTTTGTCATGACACAAGTTCTTAAGATTTGGGATTAAACACCGTGCCAGAACTGGAATTATCTGGAAAGCAAATACACTAATTGAAACCGTGAACCAACATATAATTAGTAAACTCCATTAATTTAATAAATATGTTCATAAAGTACAACTATAAAGATCTATAGAGTATTCTCAGCAGCACATGAACCACATCTTACAGACAGCAACAAAAACTTGCATTTATAAATTGCTTTGATGTAGTAAAATAGTCCCCGGCACTTCTGATGGAATAAAATTTGACAATGAGATTTAGGACTGATAGCCCTAAGCTTGGTCAGTGAGGCAGGTTTTAAGGAGCCTCTTACATGGGAAATGAGATGGACATGTTTGTTGCCTTGGTAGCTGAAGGCATGGCCACCAGTCGTGGGGCTGTTAATAATAGGGCTGCACGAGAGACCAGAATCAGAGGAGTGCATATATCTCAGAGTGCATGCCTGCATGGAGGACGTAAAAGAGAAAGGGAGGTAAAAGAATGAGAATTTTAAATTCAAGGCCTGGCTTCAAAAGGAGTCGATGTCAGGGGCAGTGCAGGGATGGTGATTAATGAGACATTGTGAGAGTACAGATATGGGCCACAGAGTTTTGAATGAGCTTTAAGTTTACAGAGTGTGGAAAATGGGGTGCAAGCAAGGTGTGTTTTGCAATAGTCATGTCTTGAGGCTATGAATGCAGGGGTGGTGTTTCCCTGGTAAATGTCACGAAGGGTGGAAATAAACAGCCTTAGTATTGATGCAGATGTGTAGTTGCCAATAAGACACCAAGGTTGTGAACTGGAGGTAGCAAGGACTGCAGATGCTGGAAGTCAGAGTTGATAAAATGTGGAGCTGGAGGAGCACAGCAGGTCAGGCAGTATCCAAGGAGCAGGAAAGTCAACATTTTGTGCCGGAACCCTTCACTAGGACTGGCCTTACCAAGGTGGTGAACAGCTTGGTTGGTTTCAAACAGTTGCCAGGCAGAGGAATGGAACAGAGTTTATGGTGACATTTCTGCTGAACTAGTACTGGCTGTTAGGCCAGCAGACAGGCACAGTGCGGGGGAACTAGTTGTGACTTCAATCTAGATGCTTATCAGCTTACATGCAGGAGCTGATGGTGTGTTAAAGGGCAAGGTTTTTGAGGAGCAGTATGGAGATGAGAAATAAGAAGGGGACAAGGACTGCAGAGAGGTGAGGGAGACTGGAGATGGGGCACTAATTTGTAAGGATGGTAGGGGTGAGGGGTGTCTTTCTGTGTAGAGTGAAGAGTTGGAAGACAAGAGAAACAGTAACTGAGAAAAGGGAACCGATAGCACCCACTAACTTCAGGGCCAGTCGGGGGTCAGTTCTGTGGGAATTGGGTTAAGTCGGCAGGATGTGAGTCTCATGAAGAAGAGGATCTGGGAGAGAACATGATTTACTACAGTTCAAGTTCTCACTTTCCAATGAAGAGGCATTGAGCCTCCATCTTTATATTTAGAGTATAGGAAGTTCCATTTGGCTTTATAACTCCAACTTTAATCATTTAAATTAGTCTGAAATAATTAACAAATCTAACTGCTGTAAGATGAATACGCAGTTTACACACTGTAATCAGTCTTGAATAAACAATAAGAAGAAAGTGTGAAACAGTTAGATATCCTAATGAAACAGTGTAAATACTTAACTGTTTTGACAATCCAGTCCTTCCTCGTAAGCTTCCTAAATAATTCCCTGGCTGCTTCCACATCAACACTCAAAAGGTCAGTCCCTGTTTCAGGTTGGTCTCCGTCACTAGAAGGTAAACTTCAAAACTTTACTACAACTGTGACATAATCTTTTACAGCACACAAAAAGTTGGCACATGAAATGATTCCAAGTCCTTCATTTAAGCAAAGTGTGATCCTTTATTTCACATGTTGTGTAATGACTGCTTCTAAAGCTTGAATTACCACTCTTTGATGGTAAGGAGTGAACCAATGCAGTGAGCTGTACTTTTGTTTTGGTAAGGTTATTGGCTAACTTTCTTCCTATCGCAACATTTTTAAAAATGTCATTTTAACTTTAGTGACGAGGTGCTAATCCAGCATGTGGTCTTCCAACACTTCCATAGCATTGCCAGTCATTGTACAGTTTGTACCACTCTTATCCTGAGTCAGAGGTCATGTCTGTAGGCTCACATGCCAGAGTTCAGCTGAGAGAGTCCCATATTGTCAGAAGTACAGATATGACTGTAATCCAAGGCTTCTCATTTGGGTATAAAAAGTCCTGGGACATTATTTTGAAGAAAAGGCACAGAAATATCCCACAGATAGCAACAACTGCAGATGCTGGAGTCAGAGATAATACAGTGTGGAGCTGGAGGAACACAGCAGGCCAAGCAGCATCAGAGGAGCTAGCCCAATATTCATCCCTCAACCATCACACCACAGCAAATGATGTGGTCATTCTGACACTGCTGTTTGTTGGGCCCTGCTGCACACAAATTGGCTGCTGCTTCACAACATATCACAAGGATCTCAATGGCTGTGAAGCACTTCTCCAGCCCTGGGTTTACGAATTGCAGAGTTTTATCATATTTACAATTCAGGATATAATAAAATTGAGTGGGGTTCAAAGCCAGGGGGCATAGGTGTAAGCTGAGAGGGGAAAGATTTAAAAAAGGATCTATGAGGCAACTTTTTCATGCAGAGCTTGGTGTGTATATGGAATGAACTGCCAGAGGAGGTGGTGAAGGCTGGTATAATTACAACATTTAAAAGGCATCTGGTTGGGTATACGAATAAGAATGGTTTAGAGGGATAAGAGCCAAATACTGGCAAATGGGACTCAATTTATTTCAGAAGTCTGGTTGGTGTGGATGAGTTGGACCAAAGGATCTATTTCCATGCTGTACAGCTCCATAACTCTACGACTGTTCAGATTAACTTAATAGTTCTGTTTCTGCATCACTCACCTTTGCTTCAGAAAACTCCCGGTGACACAGGATGAGGAGGAGAATACAATTTCAATTTCCCTTTCACATGAAAGACAAAAAGTGTTAACAGTTAGTTAGTGTATTTAGACTGTGATACCCACTAACAAATCACTAACAAAACTTATTATATAATTCTAAGGTGAAAAATTATTGAGCATGCACAATGTGTTTAATGTCTTCTGTTCAGTGAAGGGGACATTAATCAATTATTTTCACCAAATCTGTTTCATTTTTAAAATATTTATTAGGTCGCTATGTTTCAAAATTATTTATCTAAATGAAAGACAGTTAGATGCAAGTGCTCCTTTCTTGCAGATTATTATGGAGCACAGGAGACAGTCCTAGATTTAACATAGTGTGCTTCCTTTTTGGCAAGGTGATTCCTTTAGTGATATCTCTGAAATATTGAGCTAACCACACGAGAAGTCACATGAAGAAAAGTGCATACGCAGCTGTTATGATCTGGAATGCTTTGGCTGAAAGGATGGCACAAGCAGGTTCAAAAGTAATTGTCTAAAGGGAACGGGATATGGACATGAAAACGAAGAGTGACTGGGGAACAATGGCAGTAGTGGTACTAATTGGATCTGGCACAAGGTCAATGGGCCAAATGACCTTCTTTTATCATAACAACTTTACCTCTCCATGACAAAAATAGCTTGTTGTCTGTCTGCTGCTTCACAGTGCCAGGGTTCCAGATTCGATTCTAGCCTCAGATGACTGTCTGTGTACAGTTTACACATTCTCCCCGTGTCTGCGTGGGTTTCCTCTGGGTGCTCTGGTTTCCTCCCACAGTCCAAAGATGTGCAGGTTGGGTGGATTGGCATGCTATCGTGTTCAGGGATGTGCAGGCTAAGTGGATTAGCCACGGGAAATGGGGGCTTACAGGGATAGAGTGGGTTTGGGTGGGATGCTCGGACGGTCGGTGCAGACTTGATATGCCAAATAGCTTTTTCCTGCACTATAGGGATTCTATAATTCTATTTGTTAGACCATGCTATTAAAGTGATCCACTACTACATCTTCACAGGCTTTGCAAACACCAATATTCATAGCTCCAATATGTGTGAGAATTCATCTTTTAAAAAGAATGCTTCAAGATCAAAGAACTGGTATAAGCAGTGCTGACTTTTTTGCTTCATCCCTTTCTTTGCTGTAATCAGCTGTGTTGATCCATTTGTTGACGATAGCTTCACTCAATGTGAGAATCTGCTGCGCACTGTCCCTGCAACGGAAATCAGCTGCAGGCATTGGACACTGTGAAAGCAAGTCATCAGCAATTAAACAGTGAACTGAGAGATTTCTGTAGCAGTAGCAAGTTCACTCAAGGTAACCTGTGTGACCTTGGTTAAATAAATACAAAGATATACGTAATAGCAAACTACTGATTGTACAATATAACCCAGGAGGAGTCCAAAGTACTAGAGATACTGATCACAGATTTGATGAATCCAGCATCCAACAGTGTAACAATGAGTATTCTGTTTAAATCACAAGCATGCTAATACCAGAATACAAGGAAATATACTTGAATCTGAATACCAGAGGTCAGGAACAGAATCTGAACATTATCTGGAGTCCATCCAGTGATATCCAAAAGTTCATCCTCATTCCAGGAAGAATGTGAACAAATGTACATCTGTCATACATGCAAGGAGGGTTTGGAATGATCTTATGTTTGAACTTCTGTAAGTTTTGCCATGAATTTCAGCTGTAAAATGCAGCTTGAATGTCCTCCTGGAGTATGGATTTGGGGTGGGTTTAGAGTGAAGATTTTAAGTCCAATATAATTCTTCTTTGAAAGTGAGTCGTAATAGCCTTGAAATTTTAACCCTGCATCTCTCTCTCCATAAATGCTCACAGACCTGCTGAGATCTTTTCCTGCACTTTCTGCTTTTATTTAATATCTCGAGAATCCGCAGCATTGTGCATTTAGTTAAGTGTGTGCAATCTGACTTGCCCTTGCTAGATTCTCTTTGTTCTTGTATGGTCAGCTTTCTATGTAAAGTTATTCAGTGGACCCCAGCAGTCTTGGAGATACTTGTTGGGACTTTGTCAGAGCATTATTTCAAATTGCCAATTGTATACTTTTGTAACAATCTTGGTGAATCTCTAGAATTTGTATCTGTACTCTGCTTTTGTCTGTGGTTGAAAAAGGAGGCTTTGATTTTCTGAGGAGACCGCTTTCCTTTTTGCCCTCACCTTCAAATAAGCCAAGTGCAACTTTGAAATTAAGGCATTATGATTACAGCCTGGGAATTGGGCATGATGTGATGGTCTTGAACATTGACCATTGAACAGCACTTTCAAGGATTGGACACCCTTTCTCTTCAACTTATGTCTCAAAATCCACAGCTATTATCCCTAAGGTCCGGGGGACTCAGCACTACATTCTACTGGTTACTGGTCTCATTTCTTATTTTTATAATTCTACTTCTCAAAATAAATGCAACTAGTAGTTTAGCCTGAAATGTAGTTTATTGGCCTCGTGTTTCCTGCTAACTCAGTGAGTTACATCACACACATAGGCATCCTGTACCATTCCATTAGTAGACAAGTCCACTGTTGCCTCTTGCATCCAAGACTAGTATTTCAGATATAAAACTACATTTGTGAAAGTAGGCCAGGATTATAAAGATTGGCTTTTGTGACAACTTCTAAACAGTTTGGGATGATGCCATCTGTCTTCCCCATTCTTCTTCCTTGTAGATCCCTCATGGCTAGTCCTCCTGATGACCAAGTTGGTCAATGTACCAGCTGGGATATTGTTGAAGGAAGCAATTCTGGAAGACCATGGGATTACAAATGGCCAATCCAGTCAGTGTAGTGGAAGATGTGCCACCACTCACCTTGTGGACTAGGCAGGAGGATAATCCTGTGATACTGCAACTCTACATCACAACCGCAAGGTGCTCCAGTTGCAAAGTGGCCATGGGCCAACACCAGGATTGGGGAGTGATGCACCAAGTGATAGAATCATGTCTTCCCAATTGCAACCTCGGAACACATACAAAGAAAGGACTTTCAAGGAAGGTACAGTTAATTGCCCTTTTGCCAGTGGAGCCCATGGAAACACATCCCTGATGTAAGTAAATGTCTTCAGACAGAGAAGAAGGACAAACAGAAAGGCTTGCATTTATGTAGCACCTTTCGCAGCCTCAGAATGTCCTATGCAGCCTAATGGATATGTTGGAAGTTTGGTCTCTCTCATAGTGTCAGAAATGTCATAGCAAATTTGGGCATGGCAAATTTCCACAAACAGCAAAGTGATGGTGACCAGATGAACATTGGCTGAAATACCGGGAACAACTCTCTTATTCTTCTTTGAAATAGTGCCGGTGGACCTTTAACATCCACAAATAGGACAGGTTTACTGTCTCACTCAAAAGGAAAATCACGGGATGAAGAAAAGTGAAGCAAAAAGAGAGGTGAAAAGGAATGCCTGGCTTAAATGTTTCATATTAAACGGGGAATCTGAGAATGTTGGCAAGTTACAGAAGTTAAGTCAAATGAGACAAGTTTGTAGCGACAGGATCCCTACCTTTGAGCCAGGAGCCCTGGGTTCAAATTCCAGTTCTTCCAATGGCATGTAATAACATCTCTGAACAGGTTGATTAGAAAATAGCTTCTTTTCTTTTCTCATGATTTGAAGACTATAATACATAGTCACTATATATAGCCGATGGCTAGTGAACTTACCTGAGTCAGAATGAAATTGGCATTTGCTCCTGCAAAAATCTTGTAAATTTTGGCATTCTGTGACTCTACAAGAAAGAAATATTTTGGCAGAGTTAGACCTGTTTAGATGGACCCTCACTCTAACAAAGCAAACCGGCAAATAGATCTGAAAATGTGATCACACCAGCAATCCTGATAGAAGTAGATATCTTAAGAGCATTTGAGAGAAAATATTTATCACCTACAATACATTTAATCTGCTTTCTTTACAAATTTGGTCATCAACATTCTGCTTCAGGGTGATGGGCTTGGATGGAACTTTTCCATTGTAAACCACCAGAGAGACTGGCGTGCTCAAGGCTACATGTTCCTATCACTCGATGAACCTAACCTGTTTCAGTGCCTGCAAATGTCTCTGTCTATACATGAATGCAGCAGGAAAATCGAGCCTTATTCCTGAATCCACATGCGCCGTGCCATGGGTTGTTCGGCCAGTAATGAACAAAGAGAGGAATGCAAACACAACGCCAGAAAAGAAGGGAGAAATCCGAAAGGATCATTGAAAATCAGATGGTAACAATATTGGACTAGCATGTTTAATGATTTCTGGCTGGAAAATTGCTGATTTAAAGTCATTTTCATCTTAAATTAACACAGTAAGGAATACAAAGAGAGACTTGCATTTACGAAATACCTTTCACAACTAGCAGGGATGTCTCAAAACATTTTTTTTTAAAAGATGTAAAATCACCTTAGCCCTAACGGGCCATAGAGCTGCTCTCCTATTCGAGAGAGGTGACTGGTGGTGGTTTAACCTCTGGGTCAGCATACCTCAAGCCAGGGGAAAAGTTGAGAAGGTGGGACCTTCCTGGTCACCACAGCTGGTGAAGGAATGGAACCCACACTTTGAGGTATCACACTGTATTGCAAATCCATGGCCCAGCTGACAGAGCTAACCAATCTCAGGCTTTTTTCTAACATAGTCATGGATTATAATATGGAAACTGAGAGAGCCAATTTGTGCTCAGTGAATTCCACAAATAACAGTGTGATTGTGAGTAATGTCTTGCGATGCTGATCAAAGGATAAATATTTGCAAGGACATGATCATTCTCCAGTTCTTCTTCACATAGTACTCTGGAATCTTTGAATTCTAACCAAGCAGGCAGATAGGTTCTCATTTTTAAAGTCTCATTCAAAAAATGATTACAGCATTACACTGAGAGATAGTAGGAACTGCCAATGCTGGAGAATCTGAGATAACAAGGTGTAGAGCTGGATGAACACAGCAGGCCAGGCAGAATCAGAGGAGCAGGAAAGCTGACGTTTCGGGTCTGGGCCCTTCTTCGGAAATCAACATTACACCAGAGTGCCAGCATTAAGGTTTGCATATAAGTCCTAGAGGGTGACTTGAAGTTAGACTCACAATGTGCTACCACTGAGCCACTGATAAATTACATTCAGGAAGTGCCAAAAGGAAATAGCGAATGCATTCAGCTAGAATCAGTAAACGGAGCAAATTTGACTTAAACAGCATTTGCAGTCAAACTACAAATGAAATTTGGAATGAATTGCACTGGTACCTGCATGAATATGATTGTTTGTTGAACTTTCCTCCAATTTTCCATTGATTGCAAAACCAAACGAAACCACAAGATCAGAGGATGGGATGTAGGCGAGGGTGTGATAACTAAGGAATACAAGTCAGCAAATAACATCAGTTTGTTTTTGAGTCACACAAGCAGGTGCGCTGCTTCCTAGCTTGCATTTAAGTGGCAGGTTTAGATGTTACCCTGTCATTCACACAACAAAATCCAGCTATCACTGGATCAGTTTTTAAAAATTGATTCAAAGGATTTGCTGCTGGCCCAGCATTTATTGCCAATCGTTGGAAGAATTTGAACATGGGTCTGTGAATTTTTAAATGCAGACATTAGTAAACAAGGAACTCATGTTGGTCATCGAGCATAGTGGTTGATGGGAATAAGGGACAAGTGCCAGTGCCAATGTTGATGAATTCAAGTTCATAAATGGAGGGAAATAAGAAACTAACCTGAAACAAATTGAAACAGCCAGGGCTGGAAGTAATGAAAACATGAGACTTTTATTTCACTTTTCCTCAGATTGCTTTTGTCTAAGGTATGGTAATCAGAAGTAATTAGCGTTTTATCTTTGAATGAAGACAATAATACTTCATTCATCAAAGGGAAGATTAGCATTAAGAAACAGGGGATTCTGCATCCCATTATCACAAGAGTGGTAGTATTAAATAGTTGGTTCTAAAGCACACTTATCATAGGAGTGTACCTGACCCCTTTGGCTCCCTGCACTGGGACATAATATCCTGCAATCAGAGTGCAGCAGCAAAAAAAACCGAAAGAACTGTAGATGCTGGAAATCAGAAACAAGAACAGAAATTGCTGGAAAAGCCAAGCAGTTCTGGCAGCATCTGTGAAGAGAAATCAGAGTTAATCTTCTGGGTTCCACTCGATATGCCCCACACCTCCCATTTTTCTAAAATCCAGTGGTTAGAGTTCCAACCTGTTTGGCCTTTGCTCATAAGACAATTCCTACATACTAGGGATCAGCTGAGTGAACCTTCTCAAAGCCAACTGTTTGTCAAGGATCCAGTGCCAATTACCTGCCACAGGCGATCTGCGATACCTCGTCCTTGATTTGGTCCACCTTCTGAAAGGCGTTCACATCAGCTTTTGTGCTCAGTCCCAGTTGCCCAGCTCTTCCTTCTCCGCATGTGAACACACTTCCATTCTACGTCAAGGCAGAAATCAGAATTACGCCATTCGGGTTCAAATCAAAAAGCACTTCCTCACACACAGAGTAGTGGAAGTCCAGAATCTTCCTTCCCCACTTTTTGGGTCAGGGCAGGGACTAATTCTAAATGCAAAAGCAAAACACTGCGGAAGCTAGAAAATTGAAATAAAAACAAAAAGTGCTGGTAGGGCTCAGCAGATTTGGCAGTATTTATGGAGTGAGAAACTGAATAATTATTTCGAGTCCAACATGATTCTCTGAACTGATGAGCTGGAATTTTGGAGTTGCAGCAGCTAGTGATAATTTTGAATTAGAGTCCCTACAGTGTGGAAACAGGCCATTTGGCCTATCGAGTCCATACCAACCATCTGAAGACCATCCCAATCAGACCCTCACCACCCACTCTAGCCCTGTAACACTGCATTTCCAATGGTCAGCTCGCATAGCCTGCACAACCCGGGACACTAAGGGCAATTTAGCATGGGCAATCTACCTAACTTGCACATCTTTGGACTCTGGGAGGAAACTGGAGCACCCAGAGGAAACCCACGCAGACATGGGGAGAACGTGCAAACTTCACATAGACAGTTGCCCAAGGTCAGAATCAAATCTGGGTTCCAAGCCCTGTGAGGCAATAGTGCTAACCACTGAGCCATCATGCTGCCCTAAAGGAACACCATACGTTGATTGGGAATTAAATTAAAATTTGGAACTGAAAGCTAATCTAGGCAACCAGGTGGCCATGAAACCATGAGCAACACTAATGTCCTTTTGGAAAAGAATTCTGCTGCCCTCACCTGGTCTTACATACACATGACTCCAGATCCAAAGCAATGTGGTTAACCTCCTAACCGCCCTCTAGCAAACCATTGCATTTGAGGCCCATAAGAGCTGGTTTTGCCAATAATGCTCCTAAGTTTCACTTAAGTATTTTTTCTCTCGGATCAATTCATGACAACTTCACCAATAATACATTTTGTATTTAAATGCTGAAGTAAGTTGGTAATTAATCACTTCAGTTTGCTTCTAAACCTCAAATGTGCCAGTCAGTATTGAGAAGGCCCTAATAAGCCTATTGACTAAAGAATACCTTTGTTAGTAGAGCGGTATGTTGATTCCCACAAGAGATGTATGTGACTCTGAGCTCCTTCATTTGCTTCACATGACACGGGCTGACTTTATCTATTGAGAGGATAATCTGCTTTAATAATGAAGATTTCTACTTAGCATTCAGCTGTTTTACCAATCAGAATGTTACTGTCACACTCTCCACCAAACCAGCAACAGGGAAGTAAGATGATAAACTATAAGGACTGCTAAACTGCCGTTGGCAGATATAGTGAAAAGTTGACTTTCAATAGCATTATCATCACTGAATTCACCAAAATCAACATCCTGGAGGTTACGATTGACCAAAAACTGAATTGAACTGAACCAGCGATTTAAATATTGTGGCTACAAATGCATCTCAGAGGTTTGGAATGATCTGATAACTCACCTCCTGTCTCCTCAAAGCCTGCTCACCATCTACAAGACACAAGTTAGGAGTGGGAAGGAATGGCCTCCACTTGTATGAATAACTGCAGCTCCAACAACACTCATATAAACAAGGAACAAGAATAGGCCACTCAGCCCTTTGAGCTTGCTCCGCCATTCAATAAGATCATGGCTGGTCTAATTTTAACTCAACTCTACATTTCTGCAGATTCCTGATAATCTTTCATCCTCTTGGTAAAGGATCTACCTACCTTTGTCTTCAAATATTTAAAGATTCTGCATCACTGCCTTTTGAGTAAGGGGCCGACGAAGACTCACAACCTTCTGAGAGGAAAAGCATTTCCTCATCTCTGTTTTAAGTGGGTGATCCCTTATTTTTAAATTATGACTTCTAGTTCTACATTCTTCCACAAGGGGAAATATCTTTTTGACATCCACTCGGTCAAATACCCTCAGGATCTTATATGTTTCATTAAGCCATCTCTGACTCTTCCAACCTACAGGGGATGCTGGTCTAGCCTTTCCTCCTAAGACAATCCACTCATTTCAGGTACTAGTCTAGTAAACCTTCTCTGAACAGCTTCCAACATATTAGCATCCTTCTGTAGTACGGTGACAAGTACTGTACACAGTGCCCTACATGTGATCTCACTAAAGCCCTATCTAACTGAAGCATAACCTCCCTACTCTTGCATTCACTTCTCCTCACAATAATCTGGAACATGTTATTTGCTTTCCTGATTACTTGCTGTACTTGCATACTAACCTTTTGCAATTCAGGCACTAAAACATTCAGATTTCTTTGCCTCCCAGATATCTGAACCTTTCACCATTTAGATAAAATGATTTTTTTTAATTCTTTCTGACAACATGGATAATTTCACCCTTTCTCACATTGCACTCCATTTATCAGATCTTTGCCCACTCACTAAACCTTTCTATATCTCTTATCAGCTTCTTAGGTCTTCTTCACAACACTCAAGAAGCTTAACACCATCCAGGATAAAGTATTCCTACTGATTGACACTACATCCACCACCTTCAACATTCACACTCTCTACCACCAAAGCACAGAGGTAGCACTGTGTACAACATGCACTGCACTAACTCACACAAGGCTCCTTTGACAGCACCTTCCAATACCTCAACCGCTACTGTCTTGAAGGTCAAGGGCTGCAGATGCTTGAGAACATCACTACCTGCAAGTTCTCCTCCAAGCTACATGCCATCCTGACATGGAACTTTATCATCGTCTCTTCATTGTCAATTGGTCAAAATCCTGGAACTCCCTTTGTAACATGTCTGTCAGTGTCCCTACACCACAAAGACTGCAGCAGTTTAAGAAGGCAACTCATTACCACCTTCCCAAGGGGTAATTTGGGATGGGCAATAAATGCTAGCACAGCCAGTAACACTTGTATCCCACGAACAATTTTTAGTAAGTTAATTCATTGGTGAACTATAGTTGTAGAATCCCTACAATGTGGAAGCAGGCCATTTAGGCCATCAAGCCCATCAAGCCTACACCAATCCTCTGAAGAGCATCCCACCCATACCCATTCCCATCCCATACCCTACTTCTGTAACCCTGCACTTCCCTCAGCATACTAAGGAGCAATTTAACATGGCCAATCCACCTAATCTGCACATCTTTGTACTGTGGGAGGAAACCAGAGCACCCATGCAGATACAGGGAGAAGGTGCAAACTCTACACAGACAGTTGCCCAAGGGTGGAATCAAACCCAGGTCCCTGGCACTGTGAGGCAGCAGTGCTAACCACTGAGCCACCATGATGTTGGCTTGTCATCAAAATCGGCAAGGAGTTAATAGATGGAAGAATAAGAAAAATAAATTTAAAATTGTCTTACTAGTGATCCCTCCTTGCCCAGGACAGGGGAAGATGATGATATAGTGGCATTGTTTCTCAGCTATTAGAAGTCCTGTTAATTTCTGGTGAAACATGGAGAAATTCCATTGTAGCTGGTGGAATTTAAATTCGATGAACTAATCAAAGGAAAACCTGGGATGAAAAGTAATCTCAGTAATAGTGACCATGGAACCACTAACGAGTGTGGCAAAATATAATCCGGTTCACTAATGTCCTTTAAAGAAGGGAATCGGCCACCTTCACGTGGTCTGGTCTGCATGTGATTCCAGATCCTAGCAATGTGATTGACTCCTGGTTGCCTTCAAAGAGTAGATAGGGATGGGCAAGAAACATGGGTGTTGCCAATGATTTGTACCTCTCCCGTGACCGAATGTATATTTTAAGAATCTTTCGGATCTCCTTCAGCTTTATTTCCTCTGTGAAGTTATTAGTGTGACATAGCATCAAGAGTTGACAAGAAGCCCATTTTGATTGATCCTGCACGTATCTGATTAACCTCAAGGAGAAAATGTGCTTTAGCGTGTTCTTACCCATTGTGCTCTTGAGCCCCAGCTGTCCATGATTGTTTCTTCCCCAACTGAACACTGCCCCAGAGAGAGACAGAACAAAGCTGTGCCTTCCCCCTGCAGCGATCTGCGCCACTGGAATTCCAGTGAGAGAGATGATATGTTGGGGTCGTATCTGGCTGTACACGTCTTTGCCAAGTCCTAACTGCCCATAGGTATTCTGTCCCCAGGAATAGACAGCACCATCTAAAGAGAATGGACAAACATTTCCATTAGACAGCCCAACGAAGCAGAAAACTTCATTGTGATCAGTAATAATGAATTACCTTTAGAAAGAGCCAGGGAATGGAAACGGCCACATGTAACCTGTACTATCGGAACGCCGGTCAATTCTGCTCTCCTGCAAATCAAAGAAAGGTATTTTCTTCAACTCTTCAAAACAAACTGCATGAAGAATACTCCATAGTTAACATTGGCAGGTAGCCAGTATTTCTATTCTATAACATCATGGCTAATCCAACGTTCCTCACATCCACTTCCCTGCATTTTCCCCTTAACCCTTCATCCCCCTCACTGATGAAGAATGATCTATCTCAGCCTTAAATACACTCCTTGGCAGGGAGTTCCAAAGACTCATAACTCTCCGATAGAAGACATTCCTCCTCATCTCAGAGCTGCCTCACAGTACAGTACCAGGGACTCAGGTTACATTCCAGCCTTGGTTGACTGCCTGTGTGGAGTTTGTATGTTCTCCCCGTATCTGCCTGGGTTTCTGTTGGTTGCTCTGGTTTCAATCCATAGTCAAGGGTGTGCAGGTTAGGTGGATTGGCCATGCTAAATTGCCCCATAGTGTCAGGGATATGCAGGCTTGGTGGGTTAGCTATGGGAAATGCAGGGTTACGGGAATAGGGTGGGGTGGATGGATCTGGGTGGGATGTTTCTTGGAGAGTGAGTAGGGACTCAATGTGCCAAATTGCCTCTTTCTGCACTGTAGAGATTCTATGATTCCATGATCTCAGTCTTAAATTGGCACCCCTTTATTCTGATACTTTGCACTCTGGTCCTAGGCTCTCCCATGAGGAGAAACATCCTCTCAGCATTTACCCTATCAAGCCCCTTAAGAATCCTGTTTGTTTCAATCAGTTCACCACTCATTCTTCTGAACGCCAGTGAGTAGAGTCTCAACCCTGTTTAGTCTTTGCTTATGAAACAATCTTTTCCTATCAGAGATCATCCTAGCAAACCTTATCTAAACTGACTCCATGAATATCTTTCCTTAAATAAGAGGACCAAAACTGCTCACAGTACTCCAGATTTGGTCTCACCAGCACCTTGTCCAGTTGTGGAAAGACTTCCCTAATTTTATATTCCAACCCCCTTGAAATAAGGGCCAATATTCCATTTGCCTTCCTGCATTTGTGTGCTAGCTTTCTATGTTTCGTGCACAAGTAATCCTTAGTCCCTTTGTATTCTGCAGTTTTTCCTCCATTTAAATAATGCTCTGTTCTTTGGTTCATCCTTCCAAAATTAACAACTTCACAATTTCCCACAATATATTCCATTTGCCAACATTTTTGGCCACTTACTTAACCTATGAATATCTCTCTGTAAGCTGTTTGTGTCCCTCTTGTAACTTGTCTTTCCACTTATTTTGTGTAATCAGCATATTTGGCTATAGTCTTTCTGTTCCTATTCGACATCCTGTTGCTGGCATTCATGAAAATTGCTCTAGAAGGAGCAGATCACCAGGGACATAGCAACTACAATCTCTCTTCAGCATTTTACAAGTTTCACATTCTGTGGGAAACCCACTGCAATGTGCTATTTTTCCAAAGATGACTAAATAATCGTACCAGATTGAGAATTATGAAGAGCTAACAACCATTGGTCCTGTTTTTTCTTTTGGCATCCTTGACTTCCATAGAAATGTAGGAATTGAAGACAAGAGACTCAGTCTATTTAATTTGCTATCTACTATCCCACTAGACAAATGATGCAACAACAATGCAGTTGTTCACTGGTCATGCGAATTAATCTTGACTCATCAGTCTACACCAGACTTACACATGAGGTGAGCAAAACCCCAGATTTGGTGGGGGATGAAGTTTGAATCTTCTCCAAAGAGTCACATTGGACTTGAAACAGACTTGAAAATTGAGCAAGTTAGATACAGTGAAGGATGTTCCTGATGGCAGGGGAGTCCAGAACCAGGGGTTACAGTCTAAAATATGAGGTAAACCATTTCAGAGGATGAGACAAAGTTTCTTCACCTGGAAGGTGATGAGCCTGTAGAATTCACTACCACAGAAAGCAGTGACGGCAAAACATTGTATGATTCCAAGAAGGAGTTGGATATAGTCTTGGGACTAAGGGATCAAATGATATGGGGGAAAGTAGGAACTAGCTATTGAGTTGGATGATCAGCCATGATTATAATGAATGGCAGTGCCATTGAAGGGCCAAATGGCCTACTCCTGCTCCTATGAAACATTAACTCTGTTTTTCTCTCCCACAGATGCTGCCAGATATGGAGCTTCTCCAGCACTTCATAGAATCCCTGCAGTGTGGAAACAGGCCCTTCGGCCCAACAAGTCAACATTGACCCTCAGAGCATCCCACACAGACCCATTCTTCATAACCCACCTAATCTACACATCCCTGAACACTATGGGCAATTTAGCATGACCAATCCACATCTTTGGACTGTGGGAGGAAATCAGAACACCCGGAGGAAACGCACGCAGATATGGGGAGAATGTGCAAACCAACACCCCTGCCCCGCACCCCCACCCCGCCCCCCCACCTTACTGCTGTTATTTACAGAACTCTGGTGTGTCCTGTCAAAGAGTAACCTAAGTAATATTAGGCAGACCTTGGTATGCAATTGTAACAATAAGTACACTCCCTTTAGAGAGCCATCTGGTGTTTAGCTAACAACAACGCTGTCTTCGGTAGTGCAGTGGTTCGTATTCCTGCCTGCCACGTGGCCGGCGGGGGTTCAATTCCCTGGTGGGAAGGATCTAAGCATTTTTGGGGGCAGCATTGTGGCTCAGTGGTTAGCACTGCTGCCTCACAGCGCCAGGGACTCGGGTTCGATTCCACCCACGGGCGACGGTCTATGTGGAGTTTGCATATTCTCCCCGTGTCTGCGTGGGTTTCCTCCGGGTGCTCTGGTTTGCTCCCACAGTCCAAAGATGTGCAGGCTAGGTGGATTGGCCATGCTAAATTACCCATAGTGTACAGGAATGTGTAGATTAGGAGGATTGTCTGGGTGGGATGCTCTGAGTGTCAGTGTGAACTTGTTGGGCCAAAGGGCCTGTTTCCACACTGTAGGGATTCTATGATCTATGATTCTATGAAAGTATGCAAGCACTAGACCATACATATCCCTTCTGGACCTATTTCTTCATACCTTGGATGAGGAACAATGCCACAACATCTCCCATTGCCCAGTTGCCCATAGGTTCCAGCTCCCCAGCCAAAGACAGATCCATTTTGACAAAGAGCCAAGGTGTGATGCTTGCCACATGCCACATGGACAACCTCCTCTGTGCTTAGAGCCATTACCTGTCCTGTAAAACAAAAGCTTATGTATGTGACATGCATGCATTATCCATCAGGAAAATTACATGACGTGTTGATCATTCTTTGGTCAATATAAACAAATTAATAAGTTTGTTATGAAATTCTTTCTCAACCATATCATTTGATTTTAAAATCATTGGTAATAGTAGAGTTAAGAATTCCAAAATTTCCCTATAGCCCTCTGAATATATGGGCACATGCAGGTTCCAGGGGTTCAGATGAAATATTTCTGCAATTATCCTGTGTTCCTTCATCGTACACAATGGCTCTGTACGCAATTGAGCTGAAGTGGGAAAGATTAGAGATTTGAGTGCTGTCAGAGCAGCCAGTTGGTTAAAAAGTGAACACATTGATTCTGATAGTATCACATTCTTAAGATATTTATTCATTCATGGGACGTGGATGTCACTGGCTGAACTGATATTTATTGCCCGTTCCCAGTTGCCCTTGAGAAGGTGGCAGTGAGCTGCCTTCCAGAAATGCTGCAGGGCATGTGCTGCAGGTAGACCCACAATGCTACTAAGAGAGAATTCCAGAACTTTGATCCAACAACACTGAAAGAACAGTGATATATTTCCAAATGGGATTAAAACAGTTAAATGGTTGCTTTTGACTAGCACAGACTTGAGGTCTGAAATGCTTTTTTTCTGTGCTGTAGACCTGTATGATTCTATGACCCCAAATCAGGATGGGGAGTGGCTTGGAGGGAAACTTGCAGGCGATGCTATTCCCATTTGCCAGCTGCCCTTGTCCTTCTAGTTGGAAGAGGTCATGGGTTTGGAATGTGCTGTCTCAGGATCTTTGGTGGATTTCTGCAGTGCATCTTGTAGATAGTACACACTGCGACTACCAAATGTCAGTGGTGGAGGGAATGTATGATTGTGGATGTGGTACCAAACAAATGGGCTGCTTTTCCCAAGATGGTGTCAAGCTTCTTGAGTGTTGTTGGAGTTGCTCATCCAGGAATGTGGG